TTCTGATAGAATACATTCTCGTCAGATTAAGATTACGATGAAATACTGTCATGATGGAATACGGTTTTAATTTTTGATTACCTACTGTTATGTTCGGACACGGTTCTTATTCAATACCATTCTGATGGATTACATTTTGACGGCTTACGTTATGTTATTGTTCATTCTTACAAATTACGGTTCTGTTTTTCATTGGGATGAAAAATATGCCTACAGACTACAGTTTCTGTCAATTATGTGTCCTACGAATCAACATTCTGATTTCTGATGAAATTTATTCCTATAGATAGTATATAGATTATGTTTGAAAAATGTTTGGAGAAGAATATAGTTGTCATTGACAGAAGCTGTCAGAAAAACCTGTTAGTTACAGGGTGTTTTTCTAATTATTGATCCTGAATTCACCATTATTACACACTCAGTCAGATCATGTTATTCACTTCTCAAATCTGAAAAACAACCTTCCAATCTGTTGAAAAAAATCCATATTTTTTTCTTTTGCGATCCAAGCATGTGAGAAAAATTCAAGTCTTGTTTTCGACATATTATATTATAAGAAAAGCATACCATGATCTAAGAATTGAAATTAGTTTTTGTAAATATGTGCTATCCAACAATTTCCGTGTTCGAGTATATTTCATTTTAGAGTATAAAGAATGTAGGCATATGAAATAAATGAAATGATTCAAATGAATTATAATCGAATAAATCTTATTGTGCATATCTGACTAGACCGCAGACGACTTGTTCCAACTTGTTAGTAAATACGGAATGATTCACTTGAAACGAACGAATCCAAATTGATAAATTTTCCGGTTTTTGTCATTCTATAATAAGAACGAAAACCGATGTGTTATCGCAGACCAGTGGCGTATCTAGGATTTTATTCAAGGAGGAAGGAAACCAATCGTAATTAATAAATACAACTTCTTCATTGAATGACAATTCCATTATTTTATTTGTTAAGAAATAGGAATCGTTTTAACCAGAACTATAAACAAGACTGAAGATCAAATGAAGTTATAATTTGTCAGTATTAAAAAATAGAATCGAAAAAACCGTGAAAATTTTAATAAGATCGGCTACAATATTTTAGAATTATTATTGAACAACTCACATATAAAAACAGAAATATTTTGCTGAACGGGATATCCCCTAGGCTTTGGCAACCGAAACACTCTGTGTAAACTCTGACATATAATTTTTCTGAAGTTTGATACTGACTACTGAGGAACTGAATTATGCACCCTGATGTTTACTTGCTAGTTTAGGCCACCCTGTATGACCAATATCCGATCAGCATCACCTCTTTTCAAATGAATCGTTTTGACATTGATGATGGCTATCATCAGAGCACAATCGAGCTAATAAAAAGATGATACAATTTCGGATACAATGACAATTCATTTATTTAGTCAAACACAATAAAAACGCTGTCTAACGAGCATCATGATAGACAGAATGGATGAGATTCAGCAGTTACCCAGGGAGAATATCAGCTAAGCTGATGGTCGAAAACTGTTCTAGTGTAAGCACTGACATAGTATAGGAGCCGACTGCAACTTCTTTTACAAATTGGGGATATTCCCGTCCAACTGGAAAATTGCAAGAGTACAACCAGTTCCTAAAAGAGACAGAAAGACCCTACCTAGCAACTACAGACCGATCGCACTGCTATCTATTATTTCAAAGATCATTGAGGAAGCTATCAAAATCGAGATCATGAAATACCTGGAATATTATCAACGATAGGCAATATGGCTTCCGTCATGAGAGATCAACTGTTGACCTGCTCGCTTACGACTCACATAGATGGCACCAATCTATTGAAAAATATGGTGAAACCTTAGCCGTGGCTCTTGATATCTCCAAGGTATTCGATCGAGTCTGGCACCACGGACTTCTCGCCAAGCTTCCATCTTATGGCTTGCCTCCCCAGCTATGTTCTCTGCTAACTAGTTTTCTCTCCATGTAGTGGTCGACGGAGTTTCATCTGACTCTCTTACCATAAATGCTGGTGTTCCGCAAGGATCGATTCTAGCACCAACACTATTTCTACTCCATAGCAACGATTTGTTTGAAGCAACTTCATGTCCAGTACACAGCTTCGCGAATGATAGTACCCTCCATACCACCTTCCCTTCCGGGGCTCCAATACCAGCCAGGCAAATCAGAAACGAACAAATGTTGACAACATAAATATGGACTTGGCAACAATTCTCGAATGGGGATCCAATAACTTGGTAGATTTCAATGCATATACAAAACACAAGCATGCCTTTTCTCTAGAAAAGCCGATCTCACTGTGCTTAACATTAGCTTGTCAGGAGTAACCATACAGCAATAACTTCTCTTGGGAAAATCACGTGGGATGAATTGCTAAAAATGCATCCCAAAAACTTCGTTTGCTGTTTCGAGCCAGGAGCTATTTCACTTCCAGTCAGCTGCTTATGATCTATAAGGCACAGATCTATAAGGCACTAGTGCGGTAAAGTGAAGGAATAATTTTAATTTCCAGTTTTTTACTCAAAGAAAAAAGGAAAATGAACTAATTGATCATAAATATTAGATGGTACTGAAGTTTGGAATGCTTCATCTTTTGCAATTGACAGTTCGAAAGAGGAGTGACAACCCAGAACATAATAAATTCACGACAAGTATGTATACTCCCAACTCTTGTAACGCTAGCTTGTTACGTATTCCTAATAAATCGTTAATTCAAGAAATATTAACTATTTTTTATTGAATAAATAGCGTTTTTCGTAAGGGGTAAAATATTGTACTATAATCGTATCGTAAATTCATATACAGGTTGCAAAAACAATTCAATATGACTTGGTTTTATTCCTCATCTGAACAGAGTCACTTGAATGAATAATCCTTGTAAACCTATTGACCAAGCAGAACTGCAATTGAGAAAAAGAAATGAATTTAGTTATTACAAAAAACAACTTGAAAAAATAATCTAATGAAAACCTGGTCAAATCTATCAATTTCAATTTTCAGCAATGTTTGTGTTCAAACCTGTCCTACTGAAAATAAAAGTTAGCTTCTGTAAACTAGTTTTCATTGAATTAAGTGTGAGTGTAATTTTGTAAGAATTGAATACATTTTATTGAAAAGAAAGATCCTCAGATATAATGGAAACTTGTTATTTTTATAGAGCTTTAATCGCAGATTCGTGATTAGGTCTTTCAATTCAGAATTTCTTTTCACGTCCTGTATGATGAATATAAATTTATCATAAACTGGAAAAAAAAAGGAATGCATTTCAGTGGTATCGATAAATGAGACACAAAATTAATAACTTCAGTTAGTACAATCCTGGCATTTCCCTTAGAACGGCCCTGCTTGCTAACCCAAGAACATGGCGGATCCCAGAAAACAGATCCTAAAATATCAAAGGCACCGACCAGAGAAGCACTTCTGATTGTTGAGTATTCTGTGGTATAGTTACAGTTACATCTTGTGATTGCACTGGACTCGAAATTATAATAACGTACCTAGTTAGTCCACCGTTGAACCCTTCGAGCCGAGATGAGTAAATTTAAAACAGGTACATTTTGTGATTGGGGCCGAATTTAGCTGTTTTTATGCATGTTACATGCGTCCTCGGCAGTGTTGCCAACTCAGATTTCCAAAAGTCACAAATTGGCCACCTAAAAGACACCAAAAAACCACCATATCGGGTGGCAATGAAAAAAAAATGCGCCGCAGGCGAAATTGTTTGCAAATCTAGTGATTTTCTGGTGGTTTCACTTCAGTCCAGATCACTAGAAGTTTTTTCTTTAACAGAATTCATAGCATCAATGACATACTTAAGTCACTTAACAGTTATTTAACCAACTAGTTTATTAATCGCCTTTTAATATACAAGTTGGTTACAAAATTTTTCCGTCGACTATATTTCTCATTTCTCCTGCAATGAAGAAAACTTGGTTCGCGAATTCATCATTCATCTGGAAACTGCTAAGAATCACCCAGCAGCCTTCTCACTGACATTAGTGACATTCGACATTTGTCTAAATGATCAACATAGATAATAAATTCCTTGTGTTAGAAAACAGGGATTAAAATCGTGTCAGAAACTTGGAAAGGTGAACCCGTTAACAGAAAATCTTCAATGAAATCCATATTTTCGATTTAAATGCAGATTCCGTAAGTTGAAGCATAAACAATGAATGCACGCGGTGTATGTTTGGTTGCCTATAAAACAATCGTACATTAATAGACAAATCGTTCATTAATAGGGGTCATTAATGAACGATTTCATATACATCAAACTTAGTCGTTAATACGAGGTCGACGGAAAAGTATATTATGATATGTATAAAAACAAGAAGTAAAAAGCAATAACATTTGATATCGTACAAAAACAGTCAAAATTGGACATAACCGTAAGAAACTGATTTCATCAGTTGAAACTAGTTTTTCTATTGAAACTGCTCTCTAGTATCACATTCTTAAAATCAAAATATTATATAAAACAAAGGGCATTTCGGATGCGCCCTCAACCACCAGAATTCACCATTTATTTGAAAAAATTCACCAAAATAAACACCATCCACTAGATGCCATATTTTCTCACAAAACGAGATCTCAATCCACCAGTTCTAGTGTGAAATCCACTCATCTCGGGCCGAAATGGTCGACGCTCATCATTCAGATTGTCTTAAAAAAGTACCTGCATAATAAGATAAGTTTTTTTACATAAGTATCGGAGGTTTCATTCAAGACGTTTTGTAGCATAGGTTGAGTCATCAGCCTTCGACTCATGCGAGGGATTAAAAACGCAACCATTTGGGTAGCAAACTCCCTCCCGCCGTTTCGATAGTTTCAAGTTGGCAGAGCGTAAAACCGGAAGTAGCGTGCAATTAATCCGGATAATAGACAGGACAGGGGCGAGGGGTGCGTCGGAACGGTTGCCATTGGTCGGTCGCGATGTGCAATTGTTCCGTTTCCCGACCGCTGCGAAAACTTCAGAGCAAATAAAAGAATGGCAAATATTCAGTCTGGAACCGCTGAAACGGTCGGAGGTTGCGGGAAATGTGACAGTGTGGGTGGAAAATGGTGAGATTTCTTTTTTTTAACCCTTAACACATTGCGTGCCAAGCCGTGATTGGAGATTGGCCATGTGGGCCAAACCACAGTTTTCTATTATTTGTGAATATTTTGTGTTGAAATGAAGATTTGTTTGACACTCACGTGTTTTTCTGTTGGTTTTGGTTATATTCTCTTGGTTTCGTTGTGTCACTCATATTATATGAGAGACGTGCCCCCTCGCGTGGCCCTGTAGCAGAAAAAAAGGCAAATTTTTCGCTGGAGGCTACGTGATTTAAATATGAGCGACGGTTTCTTCAGTATTTCCTCTTTTGTTTCCTGAGTTCTCTATAAGCAGGCCACCAAAAAAAACTCGATACGAGCATTTCAAGATATATCAGCCGCAGACCTACTTGACTTGAATAATTCGGAAAATCCACAACGGACTGAAACGGCAAAAGCATCTACTTCATCGTATCATTGTCGTTCTAGATGACAACCTAGTTAGGTATTAGGTAGTTAGTAGGCAGGAGCTATCATCCACAAATTTGTTTGACATGTGTCAATGAGATATATCAATTCAATTTCTTTACCCCATTAAGTACGGATATATAATAGTTTTGACTTTTTGTACTACAAAGTCTCTATGTTTTCAATTTTGCTCAAACCAAGATTCACATGGTTTTCTCTAGTGGCCACTCTCTACATTCCCCATTTGAAGTGATGCATTTATGAGAGACAGGCACTGATGGGGTATAATATCTGAGACATGGCACGCAATGTGTTGACTGGTATCGTGTTTTCCTGAAACGTGAGAGGTATCGCGGGGTAGGGTATTCCAACACCCCCTTTTTGATTAGGTGATGAATACAGTTAAAAACTCATGACTTCAAAAACATTTTGTTATTTCGTGAGAATATTTTATCATGATGACTATGAACCACATCAAATAAACTCGATTCATATTTGTATCAACAGAAAAAGAATTAGTCGGTATGAAACACTTACATTAGTATTCGTTTATACTTAAGGATGCATAGATTTCGGCAGGATGTAATTCAATGTTCTGCGTGGTATTGGCCAGGAAAGTAGTTGTTTTTCTCTCGTCATCTACCATTGTTGTTCATTTCATGAACATTTGTGGAAATTACTTGACTTTTATATTTATTTAACCTTTCATTTCACTTTAAGCATTATGGCATATTTCGTAGTCGTACCTTTATTTCTCCTCTCCAAACCTTTTTCAATACAAATTGTCACTGACAAGCTAGTGAATTTTTCTTTAAGACTCTCTGATAGGAAGATTCTTCAAACGCAGCGACATTTTGGAGCAAATCATCTGGTTTGTCTTTACTACACGAATATTGAAAAAATATTCATATTTTTTTTGTAGGAACGAGGACAGAAAATCACAAAAAATCTGGAAAAATGAATGAAATAAAATCACACAAATCACACAAATTAATGTGTTTGAAATATAAAAATAGTCCCCTAAAAATTTCGGAATGCTATTAACTACTATTAGAACTGTCAGAAACGATAGATATACCTATAGAATATACACACTTGTGGAAGCAGTATGATCTCAATAGGATGATAGTATTGTCAAAAATAGAGTATTCCATATTACCGGATATATTCCATAATCCCCGAGTCTACTCCACCTATATATTATTATTTTCATGTAACAATATTAATTCTTGTATTTTGGTTCCAGAACCACACTCTTAATAATATAACTGAAACCGGAACAGTATAGCGGTTGGAACAACAAAAATCCGCAATTGCACTGTATTTTCGATAATTTTCTGTCAATATTACATTCATTTGTATCACAATAAATCAAATATTAATATGACTATTAGTAGGACAGCTGGCTGCAGATTTGTACCGTCATCTAATAACGAGATATTTATCCCAAAGGAATGTGAAAAACATTATATTTCATCACCTATACCAATCACTATCCTGAGCAAAATGATGAAAAAATAGCAATTTCCTGTGCGGAAATTTATGAAGTATGCTTTTCGATACCAATTCAATGGTGGATCTCAGAAAATTTCCTGTGCCACCCCTCAGTCTGAGCCAAATCCACAGCGATTTATTTGCTCCTATTATTCCAGACATACTTTCGCCATGTGATATCGAGTTGGAACAAAAAGCAGATTTCCCTTTTGCGAATATAATATATCCGTGAATATATTGCCCTCGTCGAAAGATAATATCCGATGGACCAGTGTGGAACTCATGTGGTGCTCAGACATATACAGGTATTCTAATCCACATGTTGAGTTTTACACTGGTCCATCGGATAATATCTTTAGAGGGGGTGAAATATTCTCGGAAGTATTGACACTCTGCCACTAACTTAGATCAGTTTGAATCGCAACAATAGCACCAAATAAATCGCTGTGCATTTGGCTCAGCCCGAGAGGTAGCACAGGTAGGTTTTTGAAATCTACCATTCAATTGGCATCGGATTGCATAATTCTCATCTCGTTATCAAATCTCGAAATCGAGTGCAAATTTCCGCACAGAAAAGTGCAATTTTTCAATAATTTTGCTCAGGATAGTGATTGGCACAGGTGCCGTTTGATAAATTACAATTTGCAACCAGCTCTTGGACTATATGTAATTAGGAGGCGATTTCTTCTCATAGTTTAGGACGAATGTTCATACAATCATGATGTGTTCTTATATATTTGCTTCGTTTTGAGATACAGAATGTTGTAGCTTTCTTCATAGATCTAAATTGGTTTCCTCAAAAGCGAGATACGAAATTAACACAAGGAATTTTCAATTGTTCAGTCTAATAATAATATGAAACTCAAAAAAAAGTATTGGCATACAATGATATATTCACCAATAATATCGATGATACTATGAACAAAATAAAAAAAACTATCTTTTATGGAAATATTGAAAAGATGTATCTCGAAAACGGAACAAGATATGTGATAAAAGTTTACATCTATATATATACTTATGCACTTTTTTCATAAAATATGACATGGAATCACTCAAGTATTAATTCATAACATGTGTGTATAGCTCATTCTCGATTATTCGCATTTTATTCCATTCAATCACTGGAAAACTTCTTGTTTCCTGTTTATACTAATTATACTAAACCGAACATTCGTTGTTCTACGCCCGTGTTCAATTGTACTCCTTATCAGTTAGTATATTACGACACAATTTATTAGCAACTTAATGGATATCCTATGCTACATTGCCAAATGGTCTGATAAAGTATAGATAACACGAAAAAAATAAACTCTCCAAATGAAATGTTCATTTCAACACCAGTTACGAAATAAAAATATGGATAGAGTGAATTGTGCATTTTGTGCTACTTCTTCTATATCACTTCTGAATTTGAATCAGACATTTTCCACTAATGAAATAATCAAACGAGTCTATTTCGTGAATTTCGTCGCTGATTTGTGACCATATTATTATTGTTTGACGGATTCTTCGAAGTGACAAGTAAAGTCAACGTGGCTATACTAATTTCTGTACGTAATCTTAAAACTGGTCTTCATTTCTGTTCAGGCGGAAACAATTTTTTCTACTACTGCTATGAAAAGTAGCGCATTTCTCATAGCTGACTTAGTTTCAAAATCATGTATTGCCTATACTGTGAGAAATATATTTTCTCACGGCACTTTGCCAACACCACATATATTTCCATGGAGAATCAACAAAAATCGATCAAAACTTGGCTGCTGTTCAGCTTCGAATAGTTGTCACAACTGTCAGAAGAAATAATTTAAATTCTTTAGGGTAAATCTCATTAGTGCTTTTGATAGAAATCGCATTTTCCATCAAATATTGTTCTAACAATTCATAATAAATAATATATAATAAATATATACCGAGATGTGACGATTTTGAGAAATACACCGTCAGAGACAAAGGTAATGGAAAAATCTGCGAAAGTTGGATTTGTTTCCGGAAATTTCAAGAAAAAAGTATGAATTGGCATATTGGTACTAAAAATTTATGGAATCTAAATGCAGAAATGCAATCTTTTTCGGAGAGTGTACTTTTTTTTAAATACTTCGAGGAACTAGGAAAGGCGTCTACTCTTTGGTCATAATATTCAATGTGGCATAGTGCCACATTATAAAATGAATACCAATAAGTTAGATTACTCGCATTCTTTGAATAAGTGCAGTTGTAGAAAAAGTATAGTGTGCAACATGTGGGGAAAAGCACTTTTCCCACTTGTTGCAAAATATACTATTTCTTCTTATTTTGATGAAGACTTTCGCTCGAACAGAAATGGGCCTTGGCCTAACATTGCACCATTTATTTACCATATCATTCTTATTGTATTAGTGTTTAGACCTGAACACATAGGAATTTAATTTTTGTTAATGGTAAATAATAAATGATTATTATAAATAATTACCTATTCTACATGAGTTCTATACCGATTATGTACAGGCTCCTTTTTGTGAAACCCACGATGCCGCAAACGAATTTTTCATAACTCGGTTCGTTTTTGAGATACAGGGCGAAATTGAAATTGTTGCATTGTGGAACTATATGTATCTCATTAATCTTTCAATTTATCGAAGAAGTAAAGAAACGCATTTTTTACGTAGAATCCAGTGGCGTAGTCATATTTGCAGAATAAGCTGTCATTACCTATTCAGATATAACCCAAAGTTATGTTTTTTAAATGGAACCCCCTGAATATTTTTTTATATTTGAAAAATTGATGCTATGCGCTTTCTAAGTGTTTCATCACACGCGTGTTTTAATTTTACCAACATTCAACATTTACCAATATTCAGTACTATCTAAAATCTGTGAACCTAATTAGTAGGTGGCTATGAAAAAAAGCGAATGCAGAATGTTTCATAATATTTGTCACCTATCTGTCAAATTTTAAAAATTTTCATACAACGGCAAATGATAATCCAGAATAAACTACGAAATTTCAGAAACTAACTTATATCTCAAACATTCAAATTTTTAGTACTTTCCATATCCGGGATTAGTATTAGTATGAAATATTT